TGCCAACTCTCGAATTACATACTGGAAAATAGCATGAAGCAAATTAAACAACAAAATACCAGAAGAATATGATGCAACTTGAATGAAAAAATATTGTGGAAACTAGTAAGGCATACCTTGACACAGTCAGCAACAACATGTGCATCCTCGTCCTGAGAGAACTCAGTTTTTCCTGCAAAAAGATAAGGCATCACAAAAAAAGAGTTCAAAGACTGAACAGAGAGCATTGTAGAACTACAAGCATACAAAGTATCCTGGCTTTTTCCTCTGTCCTATAAAGTAAGAAAATTTCCATACGTGAATAGCAATTCAAATTTAAGTTCTTACAAAGCTACCTTTGATAGCATTGTTTGCAGCCAAACATTAAATATTAAATTAATAAATCCAACGTGTAAGAAAAGAACATAACCTATGGAAGCTGAAAGCAATGTCAAAAATGAATATAGTCAAGGACAGTGTGTATTAAACAAAACCTATTCAAATTCCCGAATTCGGCGCTCAACATCTCAGCCTGCCTCAAGATCCCTTCTACTTTGACTCCTGTGAAATTATTTGAACACAATTAAAAGGAGCTCAATGGAAATGAATAAAAGTTCTTTGTCATGTGACTTAAACACTGAAATTAACATTACACATGCAGCTTTTCAGGCTGCTAAATTTGCAAACAATGTAGAAAATTCTTGAAACAAACATATGAGACACAAGCCGTGGTTAGCCATGCAGGAACTTTATCTAGAATATGGATATCTTGGGACTTTGAAAGGAAAAAACGGTATGCACATATATTTACTAGACTATATACATTAGAGACAGCAAGTATATAGAATTAGAACTTTGCCATATACTTCAGTTTGCAACAATTAAAACAAAAGAACAGCTCACCATGTTCTTCTACAAATCTTAGGGCTTTCTCCAAAAATGTTGGAGCCCCATCAACATCTTCCAGTGCAAGTAAAATTGGTCTGTGTAAGACTGTGGATCTCTCAGGCTGTTTATCATTCACTAACAGAGAGAAAGAGAGCATCAATATCTCAAATGAGAGGAAAAATAAATCAAAACAGCCAAGTAAATTAGAACCTAGAAACAACTTGGAATGCTTGTAAAGAAACATAACAAAATGAAGAGATAAAGGAAAACTAGAAAGAAAAAGGAGGGTACATAGAAAAAAAAATAACTCTCAGATAAGGCTCCCGATCAATAACATACTGAACTTTATGATTAATGAACTTATATCACGCAATATTTCCAGTGTTTACATTGGGAGCTAGATATGAATGAAGCTTCTACAGAGTCCATTCAAAGGTATACAAAATTTAATTTAAAAAAGCTGGATGGAACTTACCTGGTTCCTTAGAACTATCAACTGCATATGCCTGATCATTCCCACAGATGCCATTTTGTCCCCTGCAGAACTTGTAGGTTGTGACAAAGCTTTCTCAAGTGCAGCGTTCCACTTGTACAAATCCTCCGAAGTTTCAGCCTGCAACATCAAGCAGAAGGAACCGTCATGTCATGACTTCCCAAAATCTCACTGTTATTTTCAGTTGAATAAGCATTGAATTTTCCAATAATATTAGATAATAAGTGCATTTCGACCTTTAAAAACAGTAATTTGGAAAAGTCAGTTGTTAATTACGGGTTCCAGAGGATAAAGAAAACTACCAGCAGGGCATCGAGTGAATTACTTGTATAAAACTTATATACCGAATATGAAAATTTTCTGTTCAGGGCTTTCTCTTTACACGGTGGTTTTGGTCAGTCAAAACCAATTTTTCAGCTTTCATTAAAGCTCAACTTTGGTTAGATTCATTTGATCATCTTTAGGTAGGAGGAAGATCATTCACTGTTTCCGCAGAATCTTGATATATGCAGGTCAAATAGAAAGTTCTAAACAGTTTTATAGGAAAGTATGACACAAAACAGTTAAAAAAGAAGTAATCATAGGAGAAATTATAGATGATGAATGAATGAACAACCTTGAGTGTGAAGGTTCGTCCATCTCGGCCATCTTGAAATTGTACGGTAATAAGTTTTTTTATCAGCTTCGACAACCACACTAGAAATTTTGAATGGTACCATGAGTTAGTAAACATTTCAAACTTTAATGACATTCACAATTTGAAGAAGATATCACGAATTGATAATATTTTCAGAAATGCAAGCCAACTTGCCTGAATTGTTGAGATCAATACCGCCAAGAGTTAAATTCACTTCATTCCCCTTCTGAGAACTGGCATTCTGAAAAGTTAGCTAGAGTATATTAATCTTATAATATCTTAAGTAATCAAAAATCAGCGAGAGGGAAATCGATTTCTGCACGAAACTTTGAGAGGAGAACAACATAATAGCAGGATTTAACATCCAACCAATAAATTATCAACGCATCTAGAAAAATTATATCATACTCCAGTTCTTCCCCAATATTCTAGCCCAAATCCTTTCTTCAGCTGAATCAATAGTTAAATCCTTTTTCTATACTACTCTTCAAGGTGAAGCTATCAAATATACCATGTAAAAATATAGCATACTCCAGTTCTTCTCCAATATCCTAGCCCAAATCCTTTCCTCAGCCGGAACAATAGTTAAATCATTTTTCTATATTACTCTTCGAGGTGAAGCTCTCGAAATACCATGTCCACTAGTCTTGTGGTGCATCATTAAGTTTAACCCAAATACATACCAGGAGGACCCATCTAATGAATTCCCATCTTTCCTTATTTGGCACTTGACAGTGTTTGATAGCAATCATTTCTACCATGCTAAAAAACTGCGTCCGTACAAATTACTAATGGGTCACTTAAATTAGCATTTAATTCTTTTCTATAGGCATATTTCATGAATTTAGAGCCACCTTAAAAACTTAATTTTAGGCCGGTTATTCCAACTTCGGCTTAATATCCTTTCGAATATGCTTCCAGTTATTTAAGCCGCTAATAGTCATTTCAGAACAGGAATGATTGAACAGACGCTTCAGATTGAGGGAGAATTAGAGCACATAAAAAATAGTAATAGCAAATTACTATCATTATTTCAGCTTTTTGGTTAAGATATATTCTAGCCACTAATAGCCACATAAAAGATTATCATAGCAAATTAGTATCATCCCCGGGGATCCTAAAGCCAGATAGTCTGAAAAATAGTGCATCGTTTGAGTTGTGCCAAGATAAACAAGTATCAACATGGAAACTGACAATCTGGCAGACTTCAAATACTTACAAGATCACTTATGAAGAAAACCAATGAAGTATGTGTTTTTCTTATAAGATTTGAAGGCCTCATTAAAAACCTCATTCTTGATTAATAGAGCTTGTATAGAAGCTTCTTAATCATCGGAATGAGGAAAAAAGTGTCTTATAATTTCATTATAGAAAATAGAATTACAACCTTGGGAACAACTATTCCAAAAAACCCTTACAAACAATACAGGAGCCAGAAAACCAAACTAAAGAAGCCAACAACATAAAAATCAACCTATACCAGCCTTTGCTAAAGCATCAGCATTCGCTGTCCTTGCAACCCATCTAACAACCCCCCGAAAGTTTTAAGACTGTCAACAATATCTCTAACAATAAAACCATATACAATTGGACATGAGTCAACATTATTTATCCAGTCTACTGCAACCCTGCAATCACTCTCAACGATCAGCCTATCTTTAACCCTCCCTTGAAAAGAGGCAAACAAAGAAATACCCCTTTGAATAGCTTTAAGTTCCTTTAATGTTGGAGGTCCTGAACCAGCAGGCTCCTGAAAAGAACCTAGGATTGCACCAGATTGATCCCTCATAAGACCTCCAAGACCTGATTCCTTCCAATCACTACTAGTGGATGCATCCACATTTACCTTGACGAAACCCATAGAGGGAGGTAACCAGGGGATTATAGAAGACTTCAAGAAATTGTAGGACGAATAGGAATCTCCTATAGAATGATCAGAAATTAAAGAGTCCTTAGTAATAGAAACATCCTTATTCTTTGCTAGAAACCAAGAGGTCAGCCTAACTCTTGTTAAGAAAAATAATTCATACTGATCAAGCTTTCCCTCTTCAAAAACAATAAAATTTATGATTTTCCAGATTGACCAAATAACAGCCCCAGGAATGAAAGTCCATATTGCAGAATTGGATTTCAACTCATCCCAAGCTAGAAGAAAACTTTTTGCTTCTGCAGGAAACATAGAACTAAACCTCAAAAAATTTAGAAATTTATTCCACAAAGACCACGCAACCGAACAAGAAAAGAATAGATGCGATGAAGTTTCTTCAACCATTCTACAAAGAGGGCATAATTCATCCTCAATACCTTGAACACCTCTTTTAACCAATTCGTTTTAACAGCAATTTTGTGAAGCACAATTTGCCACACTAATATTTCAACTCTAGGGGGAATCAATCCTCTCCAAACAATTTTATTCCAGAAATGAACATCTTCTGAACCTAATCCACACCTCTCAACACAAGAACCGACTGTATAAACACCGTCCCCACTGCCTTTCCAAATCAAACCATCACTAGAATCAAGAGATAGAGAAAAAGAAGAAACGATGCTCACCATATTACGCCATTGTTCAAGCTCCAAATCATTTAAATTTCTTCGAACTTGAACATGCCAAATCCAGCCCGAAGAAAGAAATTCCCCAAACTCACAAAGTTTACCGTATTTATTAGTAGAAAGCGAAAACAGTCTAGGAAACATAATCTGAAACGGAAAATCAGCAGCCCAGCTGTCTTGCCAAAATCGAACATGCTTACCATTTCCAACGTGAAAATTGCAGAAACTACGAAACTTATAACCAAAGGAGTCTTGTTTGTAATGGTTATTAACCACTGATCTCCATAACCAGGAAGATTGAGTAGAAATCTTGCTATCAAACAGTAATCTGGAAGAATCAATGTTGTATTTGCTATAAATAAAATTCCTCCGAACAGAACTTCTCTCATTTGCAAACCTCCAAGACCATTTCCCTAGCAGTGCCCTGTTCATACAAATCAGATTCCGAACTCCCAAACCTCCCTCATTCTTTGATCTGCAAACATCATCCCATTTAACCAGTTTATTTTCTTATTACCATTTCCCTCTCCCCATAAAAAAATTAGATATAATTGAATTTAGAGACTTAAGGATAGAAGCTGGAATCTTAAACAAAGATAAAAAAAAATACGTAGACAGTGAGGAAAGAACCGATTTGATCAAAACCAATCTCCCTGCTAAAGATAGAGTAGCGGCCTTCCAACCTGCTAATTTAGAGTGAAAATTATGCACCACTGGTTCCCAAATAACAGAGGAATTCTTAGTAGCACCTAGAGGGAGGCCTAGATAATTAGAGGGGAAGTTTTCCACTGTACAACCAATAGAATCTGCCCAAGTCTTAACCTCCTGTTGGGGAATATTAATCCCGAACAATCTGCTTTTCTTAAGGTTCAGTTGCAGCCCTGACATAACCTCAAATACTCTAAGCACCCTCTTCACATTCATAATTTGAGTCTTTGAAGCTCCACAAAAAATAATTAAGTCATCCGCAAACTGCAAATGTGTAAGATTAAAGGACCCTTCTTCCTTGCCAACTGTCATACCAGAAAATAATCCCTCAGAAACAACCCATCGGATTAATAGATTCAGTAATTCCCCAACTAGATTAAATAATAAATGTGAGAGTGAACATCTCTGTCTAAGACCTTTGGCCATTGGAAACTCCTCGGATGGAACCCTATTGACTAAAACAGAAATTGAAGCTGTAGAAACACATCTCCTAATCCAACTTATCCAAGTGAAATCGAATCCTATCTTTTCCATCACCTTGAACAAAATAGGCCAGTCAACCGTATCATATGACTTTTTAAAATCAACTTTAAAAACACAACCTTTTAGCCCTTTCTTCCTTCAATAATCAATATCCTCGTTAGCAATGAGAGAGCAATCCAAAATTTGTCGACCAAGTATAACAGAAAATTGAGTCGGGCTGATAATATCTCCTATACAACTTCTGAGCCTCCTTGCAAGACACTTGGATAATATCTTATAAACTCCTCCTACTAGGCTTATAGGTCTGTAATCATCAAGGTTTCCAATGTTTGATCCCTTAGGAGTTAGGGTGATAAAAGTATGGTTAATACCATGTTCCCAATCCTTCCCCACAAAGAATCTGTGAAAAAACTGCATAATGTTTCTCTGATAGTTGAAATCCTTTACTTGAGAAAAGAACCAGAAAAGAAAGCAAGATTCATCTAAACATGTTGAGCTTGAGATGACTCTTCCATTTTCTGAAAAATAAATTAAAATAAAAATTACTGAAAAATCTCTGTTAAACAACAATGTAGTTTCCCCCTATTTCTGAACAACAAAATCTTTTCAAAACTAACAGAAGAAAACAAATGTATTTCGATCAACACCAGTTGTGCTTGAGACAGTTCTTGTTTTCTAGCCATTTTCTGATCAACAAAATAGAATCATAATGTAAAACTCTAAGTGAAATCATGGTTTATTTTTCCAATAGAAAATTAAAGAAGAAAAAGAAATCAAAAAGATATATTAAAACCTGTTGTGCTTGAGAAGGCTCTTCCTTTTTTATTGGTATTTTCTTAGTTCATCGACACCAAAATTTTCATAAAATGAATAGAAAATTAACAGAAAAGAGTGAGAAAACAAATCAAAACTTGTTGTGCATAACATAATTCTTCCTTTCTGTTAGGCGATCCAGAAAATATAAAAGAATTAATGTAAAATATACGTTAACTCAAGTCTCAATATGTAGTTCTTTGTCTTCCTTTTTCTGTTTCTGAACACCAAAATTTTCTTAACCCGGATAGAAAACAGAAGAAAAAGATATGTATAAAAACCAGTGGTGCTTCACAAGGCTCTTCTGTTTTTGCTAGTTTATGATCGATAATATTTTTTTTTTAAATGAAGTAAAATCCCAAAGTATCATTTTCCTGTTTCTAACCAACAAAATCTTCTGAAAACAATAACAAAATTAACAGGAAAAAATTAAAGGAAAAAGAAAATGAAGATATCGATCAAAACCTATTGTGCTTGAGGTGACTCTTCCTTTTTACTTGTCATTTTCTGATAAAAAATAATGTAAAATATCCATTAAATCACATTGTAGTTTTTAAAACATATTCTGTTTCTGAACACCAAATTCTCCTAAAACCGAATTAGGATAAAAGAGAAAATCAAACCAGCTGTGTTTTAGACAGATCTTCCTTTTTGCAAGCTATTTTCTGAAAATAAAAGAAAAACAAAGTAAAATCTCCATTAAAAATACAAAATTTTGCTACATTTTCTGCTTCTTGAGAATGAACATCAAAGGCTTGTGTAAACCATCTTGAAATTCAACCGAAAATGAAGAAAAATCAGTAAAATCATGTTGTGATTAATCCTTTTTGGTAGCCATAATAATCCTTGATCTTTCGGAAATCAAAAAATTCACATCCCAAACGGATCACAAAATCAACAAACAGCACCAACCTTTCACTCATCAATCTCGGTAATGCCGCTCATTCACAACATTTAAACAAGCAAACACTTAGATTCAAACCAAAATAACCCTTTGAAACTAACATAGTGTGAAAAGAGAGAGAAAAAAATCAAAACTTGTTGTGCTTAACACAATTTTTCCTTTCTGTTAGGCGATGCAGAAAATATAAGAGAATTAATGTAAAATATACGCTAACTCAAGTCTCAATATGTAGTTCATTTTCTTCCTTTTTCTGTTTCTAAACACCAAAATTTTCTTAACCCGGGTAGAAAACAGAAGAAAAAGATATGTATAAAAACCAGTGGTGTTTCACAAGGCTCTTCCTTTTTTGATAGTTTATGATCGATAATATTTTTTTAAAAATGAAGTAAAAACCCAAAGTATCATTTTCCTGTTTCTTGCCAACAAAATCTTCTGAAAACAATAACAAAATTAACAGGAAAAAATTAAAGGAAAAAGAAAATAAAGATATCGATCAAAACCTATTGTGCTCGAGGTGGCTATTCCTTTTTACCTGTCATTTTCTGATAAAAAAATAATGTAAAATATCCATTAAATCACATTGTAGTTTTTAAAACATATTTTGTTTCTGAACACCAAATTCTCCTAAAATCGAATTAGGATAAAAGTGAAAATCAAACCAACTGTGTTTTAGACGGGTCTTCCTTTTTGCAAGCTATTTTCTGAAAAGAAAAGAAAAACGAAGTAAAACCTCCAATAAAAATACAAAATGTTGCTACATTTTCTGCTTCTTGAGAATAAACATCAAAGCCTTATGTAAACCATCTTGAAATTCAACCAAAAACGAAGAAATATCAGTAAAATCCTGTTGTGATTCATCCTTTTTGGTAGCCATAATAATCCTTGATCTTTCGGAAATAAAAAAAATCACGTCCCAAACGGATCACAAAATCAACAAACAGCACCGACCTTTCACTCATCAATCTCGGTAATGCCTCTCATTCACAACACTTAAACAAGCAAACACTTAGATTCAAACCGAAATAACCCTTTGAAACGAACATAGTGTGAGAAGAGAGAGAAAACAAATCAAAACTTGTTGTGCTTAACACAATTCTTACTTTCTGTTAGGTGATCCAGAAAATATAAAAGAATTAATGTAAAATATACGCTAACTCAAGTCTCAATATGTAGTTCATATTCTTCCTTTTTCTGTTTCTGAACACCAAAATTTTCTTAACCCGGATAGAAAACAGAAGAAAAAGATATGTATAAAAATCAGTGGTGCTTCACAAGGCTCTTCCTTTTTTGCTAGTTTTTTATTGATAATATATTTTAAAATATGAAGTAAAATCCCAAAGTATCATTTTCCTGTTTATTACCAACAAAATCTTCTGAAAACAATAACAAAATTAACATGAAAAAATTAAAGGAAAAAGAAAATAAAGATATCGATCAAAACCTATTGTGCTTGAGGTGGCTCTTCCTTTTTACCCTTCATTTTCTGATAAAAAAATAATGTAAAATATCCATTAAATCACATTGTAGTTTTTAAAACATATTCTGTTTCTGAACACCAAATTATCCTAAAACCAAATTAGGATAAAAGAGAAAATCAAACCAGCTGTGTTTTAGACGGATATTCCTTATTGGAAGCTATTTTCTGAAAAGAAAAGAAAAACGAAGTAAAATCTTCATTAAAAATACAAAATGTTGCTACATTTTCTGCTTCTTGAGAATGAACATCAAAGCCTTGTGTAAAACATCTTGAAATTCAACCGAAAATGAAGAAAGATCAGTAAAAACATGTTGTGATTCATCATTTTTGGCCGGGGAAAAGAGGGAAAAATGAGATAAGGAAGAAGCGTGAATGTGAGAACATATAGTATTTTTCTCCTTTGGCGGGGGATTCTTTGAGCTCAACGGAAACCCATTTTGGTCAAAGCGCGTAAAAGCCCTCCCTTCGAATCCGAAGGAGCCGTTGTACACGTTAATTCTTGGAACTTCTGCTTTGCGGCGCCTAAAAAACGGTGTGACATGTTAAATAAGTGATCGATTAAAATTTAGATCGATTATGTTATATCATTTAACCAGAAATATTATCAAGTACAATAATATATTAGGTAGCGTTTATATTGACCTATTTTCTAACTAAACAGGTATATTTAAATCGGTAACATTGCAAATTTACCTATTACATTATAATTATCGGTTTTGATGTTTTTGTGATTGATACAATTTTAAATGTATCGACACTTTATGCGTGCACCTCGTTGTGCTTTCATTTTGGGGAAAAAATATCGACACATATTTAAAGAGTGTTGATACATAATGTAAACATATTTGCTAATTAACCAGTATATTTTTACTGGTTACATTGTAAATTTACATGTTACATAATAATTATCGATTTCGATATTTTTTTGATCGATACTTTTCATAAATGCATCGACACTTATGCGTGCACCAGTTTGAGTTCTTCAATCAACAGTTTCAATGACACAAAATCATAACAAAAAAAATAAAACTAAAACTGACCTAACTTTATCCTATGGAGATAATAAAAGTATATCAT